TGCATCATCCAAATCGGTCTAAATTCCCACTTTTTTTTGTAGCTTTTCCAATGAGTTCCGAGAACAACCTCGAAGCCGAGTTTGCATACGGTGCAGGCCATATAAACCCCGCAGTAGCAGTCCGACCCGGATTGATATATGATGCAGGGGAGATTGATTTTGTTAATTTCTTGTGTGGACAAGGATACAACCCGAAACAACTCGCGCTCCTCACCGCAAGTAACAGCACATGTTCCGAAGAAACCAAAGTACCAGTGTGGGATCTAAACTACCCTTCTTTCGCATTATCCACAACTCCCGGAAATTCGGTCACTCGAGTCTTTCATCGAACGGTGACGAACGTTGGATCGGCTGTGTCGACTTACAAGGCGGTCGTTAAGGCTCCGTCGGGGCTCGTTATCCAGGTTCAACCGAGTGTAATTTCTTTCAAATCACTTGGTCAAAAGCAATCCTATACAGTGACTGTTGGAGCTGAAGTTGGTAACTCTATGATCTCCGGTGCTTTGATTTGGGACGATGGAGTTCATCAAGTGAGGAGCCCCATTGTTGCTTATGCTTCCTTACTCGAATGAATTAATTCCAAGGGAAACAAATATTGTTTCCTTTGATGTTTTAGGCTTCAATCTTAAATTATAATAAATTGAAATGAAAATGTACTCATATATATGAGATCCAAAATAAATTAAATATGAGCTTTGAGGTGATTCTGAAATGGCTAAGTTTGTTAAAAAAAACGTATTTATCCCTTTTCATATTCTATATAGTATCACAAAGGGTAAACTACATAAATGAGTCGTTCATATTTGAGTAAATATGTAACATCCTGAAATTCAGGGTCAGTGACTAAATTGCAAGTTTTGAAAACTATGTGCTTGATTTCGAAATAAGTTAAAAGTTCATGGATTTAATTGAAGATATTTGATGTTGGATTTAATAGTAAAGTTGAAAAGTAACAAGGGTATTATGGTCTTTTTTAAAAGAAGATTTTTATTCTCTCCTTTTAAGGAATATAAAAACGTGGGAAATGAGGAAAATCTATCTAGAGTCTTCTTCTTCGGCTTCTTCTTCTCCTTGTAAGTCTCAGTTAAAGGTGAGTTTAATTTCAACTGTTTAATTCTTGGATTTATAAGTTGATTTTGATTCTTTGAGTATTATATAAGCTTAAGGAAAGCTTATATAAGCTTTAAACATCAATAATAAAGAATTAAAAAGCAAATTATATGAGGGTGTAGAAATGAACTTTTGTTATAGAAAGGTTTTTGAAGTTCTAAAGATAGATTTGACTTGTCAAAGGGTTAATTAAGAAGTTAGAGGTGATAAAATTGAATTTAGAACACATGAAAAATTTGATAAAATTCTTTGATTCAAGAATTATGGTGAATTATGAGATATGGTGAAGTGTTATAGTATTATAAGAAGGTTTAAATATGTCTAAATAAGTTTTAAGGTATAAGGAAGGATTAATAAGTAGAATTTGGGGTCAAAACAATACATGTTCGTGCTTAAAAATGTAATTCTGGGTAGTGTGCATCGATGCATCTTCAATGTGTATCGATGCACTCTCAAATAAATGAACATCGAATGCAATTAGTGCATCGATGCATAAGGAGTGCATCGATGCACCCCCTTAAAATGAAAACATCGAAGGTGATTTGTGTATCGATGCATGGGTAGTGCATCGATGCACATGTTAAAGAATGCATCGATGCACTGTAGAATGTATCGATGCACTTCAAAGGGGAAATAGAAATAGACATTTCTTTTGGTCTAAAAATGATAGATTAGAGTATATCAATTGGATATTAATAGGTATCAATGTTTGATTATATAGATATCGAACATGAACAAGTTCCGGAATGATTATCAAGTTAAGATTTGATCGAAAGAGAGGAAATCATAAGTGGATTGGAATGTAGTGAGGCCAAGGTGAGTACATTTTATTTTTATAAGATTATATGGAAATTGGACTTGTGATAAGTTTATTTTCTATAGTAATAGCTCATTAGGTCTTGATCATAAGTATGTTAACAACATGAAGTGTATGTATGTTTGATTATATGAATTGATATGTTTTTGTATGTGCTATGTGGTTTACGTAAAAACACTATTAAGTGTTAATGAGAGAATATAAAATAAGTTATGAAATTATAGGAATATAGAAGATAAGTCAAGTGATATATGGAATTGGAAATAGATGTCTATGAAGAGTTATAGGAGAACAAATATAAGTCATATGATAATGAAATATAAGACTATGTGAATACATGGTTATGAGATAAAATATGTAATAAATAGGAAAATATGATGAAAGTGAGTTCATGAGAAGTGATAGGAACTAGGTAAACATGTGTAACAACATATGCTTAATAGAAACATGAGTTGGACAAGTACATAGTGGTATGATCCATTATGAGAATTAGTATAATAGAGCTTTTTGATTTAATGAGAGTTAAGGGAACTAAATAGATTGAATAGAATGAAATGGGAATAGTACATCAATTAGGAAACTTGAATATAAAAAGGATGATACGAATATATAAGATAAGTTATATGCTAAAGATTTATGGAGCTATATGAAAAGGTTATAAGGAATATATGAAATTGAATTAAGTAAATAGATTAAACTAATATATAAATAAAATACTATTAAACGATATATGTTTAGAAATACGACATAGTTTATGTAATCTAAGGGAATACAAAGAAATGAAGCATAAGGTAGATGATATGACATAAGTTATTATATACATATATGATATATGTTATCAAGTAATATGAAAGGACTCTGAAAATTTATATAAGCTACTTGGAAGTGTTCTAGGTGTTTCTATGTACTATATGAAGTATATATGCTTATATGTGAACAAGATATGATATTTAGGTTTACATGAACATCTAAGAAATGATCTACGTGATTATATGCAATTTGGATTATGTTATATGCCATGGATCTATGTGACTAAATGAGAAAGAATAGAAGCTATGTGATATGCTATGAGAAATAATCCATGTGAATACATGAGCTTATGTGAATTGGTAATGTGAATGTATATGTGAAAATAAGTAATAGCTACGGCTTGAGATATGAATAGGAACATGAGCTATGTAAAATAAGTTAAGTAATTACATGTGCAAATGGAAATGTTATGTGAAAAGCTAAGTGGCTATGTGAAGATGTGTAATGGTATAAAAGATAATGCCCATGTTATGTGATATGAGAGCTAGGGGTATAGTTGGCATGCCAAGAGTCGAGGGATTATCAGTGGTCCTTCGGGACAAACAGTGATCCTTCGGGACATAGTGGTTCTTCGAAACAATCAGTGGTCCTTCGGGACAAATATTCAGTGCCCCTTGAGGGAATTATACGAGCTGTGGTGACAGCATAGTGCACAACCTCTATGTACTCGCATATCTTTAGTTCTCACATGTGTACATGGGCTAATAAAGAGATGATATCAATGAACTTGATATGATGATGTGTTTGTTTCCTTGTGAAATGTTATGTGTGATATATGATTGTACAAATGGTAATTATAAGATCATATGATAAAAGGAATCTATGATAGTGATAAAAATGAAGATGATGATATAGTTGCTTGATTGTATATGCTATATGATATAAGTGAGTACCTGTTACGATATATGATATGAACATGAGAGATTATATGAATAAGAGAATAAGAGATATGAAGGATAATGATATATATATGTATGTATGTATGTATGTATGTATGTATGTATGTATGTATGTATGTAGTGTATTTGTTACATAAATAAGGATATGAGTGGTATGATATAATATTAGTAATTATTCATGCATGATTACAAGTTATAATTTACATTATATGTTTATTTGCCTCACTAAGTCATCGACTTAGCGTGTGAGTGTTTCACACGTAGGTTCTGAAAAGCGAGAGGAGAAGTGAAGAGGAGCAAGACAGGTCAAACTCTCCTTTCCACAGATCAGATTAGAATTGTAGTTAAGTGTAGATATTTGGTTGTATATAATGTGTGTTGGCATGTAACGAAATTGTGAATTACTAATGCTCTGATTGATTTTGTTTATTTTGGTCCAACTTGTGTGGATTAACATATTTTATTTTAATGAAAGTTTAAAATTTTCATGATTTTCTTTAAGAGTCAAAGTTTGAAAAGTCAATGTGACATCTCGGATCCAGATTGAATACGGGTTGGGGGTGTTACAAAATATGTGTTTTAGTCATTAATATTTGAAAAGTTTCATTATGATCATTAACGTATCGATTTATCATATTATAATATCTTAGTTGTTAACTAAGACAATGACATGACATTATCATGTGTCCAGAGTGATTTCGTGGTACATGCTATCTGTCCAAAGTGATGATGTGACACATGCTACATATCCAAAGTGATGGTGTGACATATGTCACATGTCCAAATTGATGACGTGAAATATATCATGTATCCAAAATGATTATGTGACACACATCATGTGCTCAAAGTGATGAAGTGGTATTATCACATGTACAAAGTGATGACGTGACATTGATACGTGTTCAAAGTGATGACATGGAATATGTCATGTCATTTGGATAGATAAGTTATGCCATGTCAGCAATAAGTGTTGACCTTTGGTCAACTAATGCTTTTCATTCGATCATAGGATATTTTGTCACAAAATGAAATGTTGAGGATAAAATTAAAAGAATAGAGATTAAAATGACTATTTTATCAGACGTTAAGGATGAATTTTAACATTATGCCTACAATTATATAAATACCATTTCAAATAAGCCAAATATATGTGTCGAATTGAAATGCCTTCACAATGTTTCTTGTAATCAACAATTATATCCTGGTAAGTGATCGGTAAAAGCCGGCAATGCACAACTTTGTTTCCATAGGCGAGCTTAGCAAAGCTCAAATGCTTCACATGGACCTCGTTCCAACACTGGGGAGTCCCTATATAATCTCCCCTTACAAGGACTTATCAAAATCAAGCTCCAAAAAACTCAACAATGGCAGCCCAAACTTCATCTTTTTCAAGCATTTTGCTCTTCAGTTTCATTCTTTCCATGCTCATCTGCTGCTGCCATGCTGCTTCCTCTAATAATCGACAGGCAGCCAAACCTTATCTCTTTATAATTAATTTATATATACATATATGTTTATATATATGAAGAAATGATATATTGTAATGTTGAAGCAGGTTTACATTGTTTACATGGGGAACCTTCCCAAGGGTAAGGTTTCAACTTCAAGCCTTCACAACACCATGCTGGAAGAAGTTGTTCCCAGGTTCTTCTACATATTGATTACATAGTAGAGGGATCAAAACCAATATTTGACCATAACATTTCACCAAGACTTTCTAACACTTTTTATGAATTGAATCCAACAGTAGTGTTGGATCAGATGTTTTGCTCTACAGCTACCATAGGAGCTTCAATGGATTTGCTGCCAAATTGACCAAAGATGAGGCAAATAAACTGAGAGGTATTTCAATATAGTTCCTTAACAAAAGTATCATTTTAAAACTCCTATGTCTCCTTCATTTTGTTAGTAACTTCGAGTTTAATCATATTTTTCCAGAAAAAGATGGGGTGGTTTCTGTTTTCCTTAGCCAAAAGAAGCAACTCCACACGACAAGGTCATGGGACTTTATGGGATTGAACAAAAAAGTTTTAAGATCATTCATTGAGAGTGATATCATTGTTGGAATGCTTGACACTGGGATTTGGCCCGAGTCTCAAAGCTTTAACGATACTGGATTAGGTCCGATTCCGAATAAGTGGAAAGGCACATGCCAAAGCTCGGCCAATTTCACCTGCAACAAGTAAAACACATTCAACCAGAACCTTTACTTACTGAAATATTGGACTTAGCAAATAACAATGTTTGAATCTCTTTTCAGAAAAATCATTGGAGCAAAATATTATCGTGCCGATGGAGATTCCAATCCGAATTATGATTTTCGATCCCCGAGAGACTCCGAAGGTCATGGGACTCATACTTCATCAACAGCTGCAGGTGGCTTTGTTAACAAGGCAAGTTTATACGGTCTAGCAAAAGGGACGGCTCGTGGTGGGGTGCCATCAGCTCGCATTGCGGTTTACAAGATTTGTTGGTCCGATGGTTGCTCTGACGTAGACATTCTTGCTGCATTCGATGATGCAATAGCCGATGGTGTTGACATAATCTCGCTTTCTGTTGGGAGTATTTTCTCGTCTGATTATTTTGATGATCCGATTGCTATAGGAGCTTTCCATTCGATGAAAAATGGTATATTGACATCAAATTCTGCCGGAAATAGCGGTCCTCGTCTTGCAACTATTACAAACTTTTCACCTTGGTCTTTATCTGTCGCTGCTAGTACCATTGATAGAAAGTTTATCACTAGAGTGAAGCTCGGCAATGGTGAAATCTACGAGGTAAGCAGGTTCATATCTGTTAAGCAAATCCTTGTATAGTTGTGTTTGATACTCATATCCGATCTTGCACCCTTCATTTTTCTAGGGAACGTCCATAAATACATTCGACCTCGACGGAAAAATGTACCCTTTCATTGCTGGTGCTGCTGCTACAAACACCTCACAAGGTTATACATCCGAGGATTCAAGGTATTGTGATCCGGAAACATTGAACAAAACCTTAGTGGAAGGCAAAATTGTTTTCTGCGACTATGACAGCAATGGTGAGGGTCCGGTCGAAGCCGGCGCTGTCGGTGCAGTGTTCCAGAGTGGTGACTTCAAAGATTTGGTGTTTGCTTACGGGTTACCTCTTTCGAATTTGAACTTGGATGATGGAAGACATGTTTTGAACTACGTGAACACAACAGAGTATTTATTCTATAACTTCATTACAAGAGATAATTATATATGATCCATGGAACTTGGTATTAGTATGTTTAAACATCATTAATTTTTGTTTAATAATTGTGTTTGGAATAGAAATCCGACAGCGACGATATTCAAGACTGAGGTAAAAGATAATCAGTTCGCCCCGTTCGTTGTTTCGTTTTCGTCAAGAGGGCCTAACCCTGTTACAGCAGACATCCTCAAGGTAATTTACATGACTCAATTACACCAGTCAATTCTTAGCACTAATCTTGTTTTTCCAATGCAGCCTGATCTTACAGCTCCCGGTGTCGACATCTTAGCCGCATGGTCGGAAGCTGCCTCCTTGACAGATACCGAAGATGATACGAGAATCGTTCCATACAACATTATTTCAGGCACATCCATGTCTTGCCCACATGCAACTGGTGCAGCCGCTTATGTTAAATCATTTCATCCAACATGGTCCCCTGCTGCCATTAAATCTGCTCTAATGACAACAGGTGATCTAGTAGTACTTTTTTTCCTTGTAACATCAAGAGTTGCATTATCTGAATCCGTCTAAATTCCCACTTTTGTGTAGCTTTTCCAATGAGTTCCGAGAACAACCTCGAAGCCGAGTTCGCATACGGTGCAGGCCATATAAACCCTGCACGAGCAGCCCGACCTGGATTGATATATGATGCAGGGGAGACTGATTTTGTTAATTTCTTATGCGGACAAGGATATAACTCTAAACAACTCGCGCTCATTACCGGAACTATCGCAATTTGTTCCGAAGAAACGAATGGAACAGTGTGGGATCTAAACTACCCTTCGTTTGCATTGTCCACAACTCCTGGAAATTCAGTCACTCGAGTCTTTTACCGGACGGTGACGAACGTTGGCTCGGCAGTGTCGACTTACAAGGCGGTCGTTAAGTCTCCCCCAGGGCTTGTTATCCAGGTTCAACCGAGTTTACTTTCTTTCAAATCACTTGGCCAAAAGCAATCCTTTACAGTGACCGCGAGAGCTGAAGTCGGTAACTCTATGATCTCCGGTGCTTTGATTTGGGACGATGGAGTTCATCAAGTGAGGAACCCTATTGTTGCTTATGCTTCCTTGGTCGAATGAATTATTAATTCATAGGGAATTAAAGTTATTAAGATTCAATGATGTTTTATCAGTATGTTGTGTTTGATGTTTTAGTTTCAACCTTACATGATAGTGAATTGAATTATGATGCAATTGTGCTCATGTAAGTGAGAAGGAATAAATTATATTATTAGGAAGGAAGGAATTGTTTCGAGTTGAATCTAAGATTGAGTGTGCAACTTTATTGCAATGGAACTCTTTGGTCACATGATCCCACAATAATTTAAAGTATTTTACTTCTCTTTTCTTTAAAGAATTTTCGAATATATATTATCTTAAATTATGTGCTCTAACTTAGAATTTAATCATATTATTGACAAGTTTTTAGTTTAAACTATTCATTAATTTAATTCAAATAATTATTTGTCTCAAACTTTGTTTCACTCTACTTGATTTTTAAAAATTAAATTTAGGATGAGAAAATACGACTCATCAATTCGACTAACTCAAATTATTTTCACGTGATTCGATCAAATATTCACTTCTAGTAGCTTATGCTATTAATCCTAACTTAACAAATTTATTTATTTATTTTTGTTTAAGAGTAAAATAAGCTCATGAACAAACCCAAAGACTAGTCTTGATGGTAAAGGGAATGTTGTTCTCCTAGGTAACTTGAGTTCAAGCAATTTTGTCGGCAGGTGTGTGAGAGTATATCTATATTTAAAATCGAATATAGATATTACCTTGAAATATTAGAATCATCAATATTATAATTGGAGAAATTGAAAGTTTAGTTGTATGAACAATACACGACCTGAAGTTCAGTGATATCTAGTGTAGTTCACCTTAAAAAGGATCAATGAACTTTTTCACACACAAAATTCAAGCCACTGTCAATCATCATTCACACGTAAACTACTACATCAATAAGGTCAACCATACTGTTGGCACGATATTAACAAAGACTAGTTCTAATATGCAAAGGATTTCATTGATGTAATTTTTATGTCTGAGAAATCAATTGAACATATTTTTTTATAGAGGGACTTGATTGATTTTTTTAGAAAAGTTTGAAGGCTTATTTAATGGTTAGATCTTTGAGGTTATGCTGATAACTTTCATGAAATTTGGAATGTCTTCGAAACATCAGCCCAACTGAATTCCCTAGGCAAGAGGAAAAATTATATGTTTCTGGCTAAGGAAGCTGCCAACCAGCTACATATTGGTTGTCATGATTTGGATTTTCCCTTTCCCAATTTTCCTAAGAACCAGACAGACAACTAGCATAAGTTTTTGGCGTTTTGAAAAAAATGCAAAAAACCAAACTCAACAATGGCAGCCCTTTCTTTTTCTTTTGCATGGCGTTCACTTCTCGGTTTCACTCTTTCCATGCTTATCTGCTGCTGCCGTGCTTTCTCTGATAACCGACAGGTTAACCAAATGAGCTGATACGATTTGATTTTATACATACATACATACATACATACATACATACATACATACATACATACATACATACATACATACATACATACATACATACATACATACATACATACATACATACATACATACATACATACATACATACATACATACATACATACATACATACATACATACATACATACATACATACATACATACATACATACATACATACATACATACATACATACATACATACATACATACATACATACATACATACATACATACATACATACATACATACATACATACATACATACATACATACATACATACATACATACATACATACATACATACATACATACATACATACATACACATACATACATACATACATACATACATACATACATACATACATACATACATACATACATACATACATACATACATACATACATACATACATACATACATACATACATACATACATACATACATACATACATACATACATACATACATACATACATACATACATACATACATACATACATACATACATACATACATACATACATACATACATACATACATACATACATACATACATACATACATACATACATACATACATACATACATACATACATACATACATACATACATACATACATACATACATACATACATACATACATACATACATACATACATACATACATACATACATACATACATACATACATACATACATACATACATACATACATACATACATACATACATACATACATACATACATACATACATACATACATACATACATACATACATACATACATACATACATACATACATGGGGAACCTTCCAAAGGGTGAGGTTTCAGTTGCAAGTCTGCACACCAGCATGCTTCACGAAGTTGTTCCCAGGTTCATCATTTACGTTAAATCCAATAATTTTACCATCCCTTTTCCAAGATTTTCTAACTCTATTTATGAATCGAATCCAATAGTAGTGTTGGATTAGATGTTTTGCTCTACAGCTACCACAGGAGCTTCAATGGATTTGCTGCAAAGTTAACCAAGGATGAGGCAGATACACTGAGAGGTTTTTGAACATAATTGCTTAATCAAATTATGAAGTTGTCTCCTACATTGTGTTGGTAACTTCGGGTTTAATCTTCTTTTTCCCAAGAAAAGATGGGGTGGTTTCAGTTTTCCTTGGCCAAAAGAAGCAGCTTCACACAACAAGGTCATGGGACTTTATGGGATTCAACAAAAAAGTTTTCAGATCATTCATTGAGAGTGATATCATTGTTGGAATGCTTGACACTGGGATTTGGCCCGAGTCTCGAAGCTTTAACGATACCGGATTCGGTCCGATTCCAAAGAAATGGAAAGGCACCTGCCAAAGCTCGGCCAATTTCACCTGCAACAAGTAAACCACATTCAGCCAGAGCCGTACTTACTGAAATATTGGCCTTAACGATGTTTGAAATTTGTATCTCTTTTTCAGAAAAATCATTGGAGCAAAATATTATCGAGCTAAAGGAGATTTTAGTCCATCCGATTTTCAGTCCCCGAGAGACTCCGAAGGTCACGGGACTCACACCTCATCGACAGTGGCAGGTGGCTTCGTTAGAAAGGCAAGTTTATACGGTCTTGCCAAAGGGACGGTTCGAGGAGGAGTCCCGTCGGCCCGCATTGCGGTTTACAAGATTTGTTGGTCCGATGGTTGCTATGACGAAGACATTCTTGCTGCGTTTGACGATGCGATAGCCGATGGTGTTGACATTATATCGCTTTCTGTTGGGAGTATTTTCTCGTCTGATTATTTTGATGATTCGATTGCTATTGGAGCATTCCATTCAATGAAATATGGAATCTTGACATCTAACTCTGCTGGCAATTTTGGTCCTACTCCTGTATCGATTTCGAACTTTTCACCTTGGTCTTTATCAGTGGCTGCTAGTACCATTGACAGAAAGTTTGTCACTAAAATGAAGCTCGGCAACGGAGAGATCTATGAGGTAAGGAGTACATTTATGTTAATCGTATTATATGTTACTACGACTCTTCATTTTAAACAGAAATCATGTCGGACACATATCTAAACGTACCCGAAACTCACCCGAATCCGAATGACTAGGGAACCTCTATAAACATATTTGATCTCAAGGGAAAAATGTACCCTTTCATCGCTGGTGGAGCTGCTCCCAACACTTCACAAGGTTATACATCTGAGGACTCCAGGTATATCTTTGTATTCCATGTTGCTTTATTTGACAATAATATCAAAATTTAACTCTTTTTCTACTACCATGAACATGTAGGTACTGCTTCCCGGAAACATTGAACAGAACCTTAGTTGAAGGAAAAATTGTTTTCTGCGACTATTACACTGACAGCACCTCTCCGATTGAAGCCGGTGCCATAGGTGCAGTGTTCCAGACCGGCGTATACGAAGATTATGCTTTCATTTATGGTTTACCTCTTTTGAAATTGAATTTGGATGATGGAAAAAAAGTTTTCGGCTACGTGAACGGGACAGAGTATTTATACTAACTTGATTACTGAACAGAACATGTATCGTAAAACTTAATTTAGTTCGGTTGACATTGTTAACGTTGTCTTGTGATTGTCATGTTTGAAATAGAAATCCGACAGCAACTATATTCAAGACTCAGGTGGAAGATAATCAGTTTGCCCCGTTTGTTGTTTCGTTTTCATCAAGAGGGCCTAATCCTGTTACAGCAGACCTCCTCAAGGTTGGATTTCATGTTCTCTTTCGAATCAAAACGAACAATAACTTGCAAGTTTGATACGGATATAATTGCCTTCCCTTCTTCGTACTAAACTCGATTTTTTCGATGCAGCCTGATCTTACAGCACCAGGAGTTGACATCTTAGCCGCATGGTCCGAAGCTGCCCCTATGACAGACACCGAAGATGATACGAGAATTGTTCCATACAACATTGTTTCAGGCACATCCATGTCATGTCCCCATGCAACTGGTGCAGCCGCTTATGTTAAATCATTTCATCCAACATGGTCCCCATCCGCCATTAAATCTGCTCTAATGACAACAGGTAAAATCTATTTTTTTACACATGATCGAGAGTTGCATTATCTGAATTAATCCATCTAAATTCTCGTCCTTTCGGTAGCTTTTCCGATGAGTTCCTTGAACAACATCGAAGCCGAGTTCGCATACGGTGCAGGCCATATTAACCCCGCACTAGCAACCCAACCTGGATTAATATACGATGCTGGAGAGATCGATTATGTTAAATTCTTGTGTGGACAAGGATATACCTCTAGACAACTCGAGCTCATAACAGGAACTAAAAGTAGTTGTTCCAAAGAGATGAACGGAACGGTGTGGGATCTAAACTACCCTTCCTTCACATTATCCACAACTCCCGGAAATTCAGTCACTAGAGTGTTTCATCGGACGGTGACAAACGTTGGTTCGGCTGTGTCGACTTACAAGGCGGTCGTTAAGTCTCCACTGGGGCTCGTTATCCAGATTCAACCAAGTGTACTTTCCTTTAAATCTATTGGCCAAAAGCTATCCTTTACGGTGACCGTTGGAGCTGAAGTCGGTAACTCTATGATCTCCGGGGCTTTGATTTGGGACGATGGAGTGCATCAAGTGAGGAGCCCCATTGTTGCTTATGCAAAAATTTACTAGGATAATCAAGGCCAAGGGAAACCAAAATAAATAAATAAATAAATTTTAATAATCTTTTTATTTATTTGAATGTATTTGATGTTTTCAACTTATATCCATGTAAGTGGAATCTTAAATAAAATAAATTTAAGCTTCGAGTTTGATATTTAAGATTTACTTTATTGTTCGAACATCTTTTCAATTCAATTTTTTTATATATAAAAAGGAAAATTATTTCAGAAACCATCAAACTTTTAATTTTGTTAAATTTAACACTAACATTTAGTTTTACATTCAATTATGTCAAACAGAAAGATGATATGGCAGCACCGCTGTAAGGCCTCGAATTTTGAGTTAATGGTTTCGGATTGACCCTAATGGGTTATAGATGAACACAATAATTTATTAAGAAGCTTTGGGCCAAATTTGGGTTTTGTTTGGGCTAGAATTGAGCCCATATGAAATTAAAAGGGTATTTTTGAATTGAGATCAAAAAGGAAGGATTAAGGAAGTAATTTGCCCCTAAAAGAGTTTAAAGGCTGAACCTCCCTTGAATGTGGGTGATGTAATCGGGCTTAGAGGGGAGAGAAGACTGCTTCTTTTATCTCATTTTTCTCTACTTCTTTTGTCTTCTTCTCATATCCAAAACACTCTCTTTTCCTCCATTGTAGTTGAACAAAGGTGAAAGCTTTGTTATGTATCATTTCATGTCTGAAATTCTCAAGGTAAGGGTTGTAATCTCCTCCCTTAAAGCTCTCATTTAAACTCACAACCTCAAAGTTTGGTCATGGTGGTCATGGTAGGGGTTCTAGAGTGATTTTGAGTTTTAGAGCTCTATGATGATTTCAATATGTTTCTAGATCTTAGGAATCATGTTTCCACTTCTTTTAAATTCTTAGATGAGTTAATAACTCATTTACTTGCTTTGTGTTTAGTAAAAGAAATGAGTGAAGGCTCCAAAAGCAAGGGTACGAAAAAACTTGTACTTAAGTGAGTTGAGGTGGTTTTCCCAGCAACTAAGAGTAAGGTGACACACCTATAACTCTTCTATAACATTTGTAGATCATCATGTATAGTTTGATTATTTATATGAGTGCATGAAGCATTATGAGTGTATTTGTGTTCATGAAAGAGATAGAGTATTTTGATATTACTCGTATAAAAATGATCTATTATGATCTCCTATAACTGTCATAAACTTTAAATAACGTTTGAGGGCCTTATAGGAGCTTTTTGTTGTTGTTGGATAATTTGGAATTTATTACCCAAGAACAAACAATTATAAAATCAGTGTTCAAAGAACATCATGACAAACTACTTACAAAAGAATCAAAATTAAACTATGTCCCAATGGTTGCAAAGATGTATATTAACACCATCAACACTATTAAGAAGTCTACCACTAAGCTGGGATCCAACAATGTTCTTGATGGCTTTAAAAAGATCAGGTGCATTTCTGGATCTGTTTTGGAACAGACGCTTGTTTCTTTCTTCCCAAAGAATATAAATTAAAGCATTAAGCGCAGTCTTCATAATGGCAGTAAGTAAAGATTTCCTTTCCAGTTAGAGGAAGCCCACATGATAAAGATTTCCCAATAGCAAGCTCTAAATTGAAGGCCAGAAAGAAGGAAGATAGAATTCCATAAGAAACCAGCCATAGGACAGTGTAGGAATAAATGGTCTCTATTTTCCAATGGATCCTCACAAAACATGAAGTGGCTATCATTGATAAGCCCCATATGAAGTAGTCTAGCTTTAGTGGGAAGACGATCAATGAAAGCCATTCAAGTGATCAAACTATGTTTTGGAATATGAAAAGGAAACCAAATAAGTTTCTGCCAAGTAACCAGGGGATGTCTTACCCGAATAGAGTCCCAAATGCATCTCACTGATTTAGCTCCAGGGGACAGAATGGAGAACGCTTAGGCCTTAGTTTAAAGATTTTCTTTAGACTCCAGCTGACAGAGGCCTTAGTTTGAAGATTTTCTTTAGACTCCAGCCGACAGAAGGGCAAATTTCAGCATTCCATAAATCATTTTCTTTAAGAATATAGCTTTTTATCCAAGCCACCCAAAGAGAGCCTTCACCCGCAAGAATTTTCTTGATAAGAGAGAGCATACAAGCTCTGTTCCAAGTTTTTAGGTCCTTAATACCGAGCCCTCCCTCCGATTTAAGGCAGCATATATTTTGCCAACTTACGCGTGCTCCAAAAGCAGATCTGTCTGATCCTTTCCAGAAAAAAACTTGAGCATAGTTGTTCGATCTTCTTAAGGACAGAGAAAGGCAAAAATAATTTCCTACACCAATAGTTGGTGATGCTAAAGAGGACATCTCTTATAAGTTCCAATCGGCCAGCATAACTAAGAGTTTTAGTAGACCAGTAGTGTAATCTGGCTTTAATATTTTCAATGAGGACCACACAATCTTTGTCAGAAATTTTCCTTGTCATAAGAGGAATACCTAGGTACCTCACTGGTAAGGACCCGATTTTAAAATCAGTGAGAGCATGAATTTCTTGAAGAATAGGGGTAGTCATACCTGCAGCAAATAATTCACACTTTGAGGCATTTAACTTTAGTCCTGACATTTCATTGAACATGTCTAGAATACTTGTTACTCCAAGAACAGAGTCAACTGTCCCTTTGCAGAAGATTAGGAGATCATCAACAAAGGATAGATGAGTAATTCCATTTCTTTTACACTTAGAATGATAAGCAAAAAGATTTTTTCCAGCTGCCAGATTTAAGAGATTCGAAAGGATATTCATAGAGAGAACAAATAATAAAGGAGATAGTGGATCTCCTTGCCGAATACACTTAGCTCCCTTGAAATAGCCAATTAAACTCCCATTGAAAGGAACAGAATATCTAGCAGTAGAGAAGCATAATTCAATCCAATTAATAAAGAGGTTTGGAAGACCAATGGCTTTCAAAGTGGCAGAAATGAATCCCCAATGTAAAGAATCAAAGGCTTTGTGAAGATCAATTTTGAGGGAGCGTCGAGGAGAAATGTTCTTCCTACTATAAACTCTGACTAGTTCTTGGGCAAGAAGGGAATTGTCAACAATAGCTCTGCCTTTTAAAAAATCAGTTTGATTGAGGGTGATTAACTCGGGAATAATGTTGGTCAATCTTCTAACCAAAATTTTAGTGATGGCTTTATAGAAAATCGAGCAACAAGAAATAGGCCTAAAGTCTTTAACTTTACTGGAATTAGGAATTTTAGGCACAAGAGCAATAATGGTAGAATTGAAAGCTGGAAGGAGAAAAGATTCTTGGAAGAATTGTTTCATGGCAGCATAAATGTCATTTTTAATGATAGGCCACGATTTTTAAAAAAAAAAAGGGGTAAAGCCATCGGAGCCAGGTGATTTGTCATTACCTTGGCTGAAAAAAGCAATTTTGATTTCCTCATTGGAGATTTCCTTAACAAGATCTTCAAATTTTCCAGCAGTAAGGAAGAATGGAGGATGTCTTTTAACAAATTAAAATATGGAGTTTTCACTTCAGGATCACTGGTGCCAAGAAGATTTGAAAAGTAATTAATCACCTCAGTAGACATTGAGTCAAAAGATTCCAGTCTATTGCCTTGATCATCAATCAGAATTCTAATGGTATCTCTCTTGTGTTTAAGGGCTACAACATAGTGAAAAAGTTTAGTACATCTGTCCCCTTCCCTTAGCCATAAAACTTTGGCCTTCTGTTTTAAAAACATAAATTCAGCATCCTCAAGGTTCTTTAGTTTAGATTGCAATTGAATAATCTTGTCGATGACATTCTCACCTTTTAAATATTTGATTTGTTGAAATTCCAGCTCAGATTTCTTGTAGTTTACTCTGGCAGAAATGTCACTATAACAAGAATGATTAAGGTCTCTGAGGCTTGTTTTTAGGCGTTTTAATTTTGAGAAGAGGTTTTGCATTGGTTTACCATGGACAGGGATAAGCCAGGACTGTTGGACTACACTTAACAAATTGGGGTGTTGTGTCCAAAAGTTGAAAAATTTGAAAGGTTTAGGTCTGCTGATTTGAACATCTTTTGAAAGCCAGACCAAGGCCAGGCAATGATCAGAAACAGCAGGGGCAATGAATTCAACATGTGAAGACTTAAAAGAATTCACCCAAATATTATTTACAATGACTCTATCAAGCTTTCTAGCTAAGAAGGAACTCTGATGTTTGTTACTCCACGTAAATTTAGGGCCAAAGAAAGGATGGTCTATGAGATCCAGATCAGAATAAACTTCTTGGAAATCTCTCATATCAGAGGAGATAATAGGGCCCAGAAGCTCAATGTCAGAACTCTCATAGGGATGAAGAGTAACATTGTAACACCCATAATCCGTATAATTATACCTATGCAGATTATAGATGTCACATGAATTTCTAAAACCATCTCCACTTCAAAAATGATATTATGATAATATCATATCATATGCATTATGCTTCGTTATAACAAATTTAAAACTAAATATTTTTTAAATGAATAGTGAACAGTGAACAGTGAACAGTGAATAATGAACAGTGAATATGGAACAGTAAATAGTGAACAGTGTATAATGAACAATGACTGCACCGATGCACTGCTACATTACCGTGAACAGTGCATCGATGCACCAAAATTTCGAATAAAAAATATGTATACAGTGCATCGATACACTGCTACAGTGCATCGATACACTGCTACAGTAATTTATGCAAACATGCATAAAACTCATAAAAATTTAACCGTGCATCACTATACAACTACCATTTACATATATACGTTTAAATTCATTTGAAACATTTTTACTAAAATCTATTACATGCCGACTAAAATATAACTAAAACAGTTCATTATGTCATACGGTTACTGATGGGGTGACCTTGACTGAATATCCAAATATCTCCTTACAAGCTGTATTCAACCTACGCGTGAAATAAACACACGTTAAGTATTACTTAGTGAGGAATAAATAATCACGAATAACATTTCTACATACAAATTATCTTCTAATATTTTCTCTCCAAGGAATCTTTAATTCCAATGAATATACTATAATCTGCATTACTGATGCCAATAACTCATTTATCAAT